GTTAATGCCTGTGCATACTTTTAATGACATTTCATATGTATATTTATAAATATATATTTGCATAAATATATATATGTATGAGTAAATGCATACATGTATAAGAAAAAAAAATTTTTATTATAATTATTATTATTTTCTTTAAATCATTTTCTGCCTTCACTCCTCTTTTCATTTTTTGGTTTTCAATATCAATGTAAATCTATTTATGATGATTACATATTTTTATAAACAATCTTAATAATCTTCATCTTCCTGTTCCAAACTTTTCCTTGTATGTTCTTCAATATCAACAACTTCCCAAGGATAAACCAACCAACGATCAGGTGTTTCTTTTGCAGCGAAATAACGATTCTCACTTAAAATTGTAGGATCTGGCAATTCTATCTTTTTTTCTTTTATTTTGTTATGAAGAACAAAAACTGCAAGTTTTGTTTCAGGTATTTTTGAATCGTTATCTTTATTATTAATTGTTTGAATATATCCAAGTTTTTCCTCTTCAATATCTTTTAACAATTCTTGTATCGCATATGCTAAAGTTGTCCTAGTGTCATCAACTTCATCAACTATAAGAATATTTTTTCCAAGTAAATTACGTTTATTTGTTAATTTTGACGATGTTGTTGACGCTAATGATGGCGATGAGTCGCCAAAATGAAGCCATTGAGTTTTTATCACTTGAGTGCCAATTGTTGATAACGCATCCGGAGAAGTAGAAGATGACGATAGATTATTTATAAGGCTTGGGTCAATATCAATATCTTCATATAGAGATAAACCGATTGCTTGAATTGGCATATTTTTGTTGTTTTGTTGTTTTAAGAAGGTTCGCTTTAGAAATTGATTTATTTTGTTATTATTAATGAAAATGTTTGAAAATTAACATATAAAAATTTTTATCTTTTTATAATATATAACTTTTTAGCTCATTAATTATTTTAATCATTTAAAATAATATTTATTAACATTGTTCAGGGCTTGCATTCAAAAGTTTTTATGTAGGGCTATTATATCATAGTATATAAGTGTTCAAGGAAAAGTTATAAAAAGAAGGCTTTGAAACCAATATTTACCAGAATTCGAGCAGGTATGAATCCTCCACCGCCAATTGCAATCATAAGATCTGGTTTAAATACATCGCTTATATGAAAACGTTCCACTGCATCCTTTATTAATTGATGAACTTGATTATAAGAAATATAAATCTTTGTATCTTTTACCATATTTTTTAATCAATGTTAATGCAGATTGATAAACCGATAAGAATGACTTTTGGTGAGAGTTTATTTAACTATCTATTCGTTGAAAATAGTGGGCGTGATTTTTTAATTTGTATCACAAATTTTTTATTACACAAAATTAATAATTCCTTTTAAAAATTTTCAATAATGCTATTACTATACATTTCATTAAAAGGCTAAAAATCATCATCAAATACTGATTAGAGGTGCTCCTTTTTTTCCAAAGTAAGGTTATTTGTATATTAATATAGTATTCTTTTTTATCTATAAAAAATGCGTTATACGGACAAAATTACGCGTACAGTGAACAGCAAAAGCTAAGGGGGCGGCAAATTTTCAAATTATCACGTGTACAAATTTTAGCCAATAAAATTCAAGAAAATCATTGTGATACGAATGGACTAGGAGTTTTAGCCAATAAAATTTAAGAAAATTGCAAAATATCACGTGAAAATATCTTCGACCAATGAAATAGAGAGAAATTTATAACGGGCGGCAAATTTTGGAACTTATATATGAAATATTACAAAATAGTGAAGTTTTAAACTCTTGCTAGTAAGTTTAAATTATTCCATGACTTCTAAGTAATCGTTTGGTGCAATTATTTCTTAAAAATGATCGCCCCTGAGGAGCAGATCCCATTTTTGGTAAGTCAATAATACTTGATAGCTTTTCCTGTATGTATATAATATGAAATATATCTTGTAGACGTGGTAAAAGCAAGGACAAAATTGTACATTAATCTTGATCAGCGAAATCACCATTGAAAGTTTTAGGATTAATGTTAGAAATGCATCATCGTCAAAATAAATTTCCCAAAAATGAAGCAATTAAAAAAATTCTTTGCTTGAATGACAATGAAAATGTGTTCCAATAATAATAATTTACAATAATTATTAATATCACAATAATTTATTATTTATTTTACATTATAGCATTTATTTATTATTATTTATTATTTATTATTTGTTTTATTAATATTTTTCTTATTTAATTTGCATTGGTTACTTATGTAGTACTAGGTCGACAAGGTAAAATAGTAGATTTGGTCTAATTAAAAAGTATATGTATAAACGATGTTTTTTGAAGGTTAACTTTTCTTGAATAAAAGAAAATAATAACAAGTTTCGACTCAAATCATACCTAAAACTATTCATTAGTAAATACCCTATAGTGCGCGTTATCGAAGGGTTTTTGCGCCGCATAGCCAAATTTCAAATCTCAAAAATAGGGAGTTACAATATATTCAAGATATTTTTGGATATCACGCCATCCTATGAAAGCACATGGCCAAACCAGAATCATTGCTAAAAAATTTATTAGTTACATATAGGGATTTTTCTAGTAAAAACCGGACACGAACATTATAAAATTTTTTCAAGAAAACACCCCTGAAAGATTTGTTATACGTACAGTCAAACCTTGTCACAGCGGATAAACGGGACACATAAGAGTTGTGACAAGGTTACTATTACGCGGATTTTATTTATTAATAAAAATCTTGTGTATTTGACAATGAACACTAATAAATAAAAGTTCGTGTAAAATATTAAAAAATTTTAAATTTTATTTTGTTTTAAATAAGGAAATTATTTATATTTGTTGTGAAATTAATTTTCTTGTTGCTTTAATCAAATACAAATCAAAATAAAGAATACTTATTTTTTGTAATTGTGGTTAGTGTTGCTAGCTGACTAGACATAGCCGCGACCAATGATTTTATATCTAGTCGCGACTAGAAATTTTTCAAGTCAGCATTACTATTACTATTTCTATGGGTGTTCCTTGTTACAAATCAAAACTAATTAGCTGATCAGAAAGAACAACAAATTTGTAAGATTTTTTTAAAAAAAATTTCCAACAACAAAGTGTTCATCCAATTCAAAAAGTAGCTTCTACTGATAATGACAATAGCAAAGTACTTACCCGGTTCAAGGATAGCTTCTTATACTAATAATAATGAACAATAACAACAAATATTTATTCAGTTCAAAGGACAACTTCTTCTACTAATAATGACAAACAAAAACAACAAAGTATTTATCCCAGTTCAAAGGGAAACTTTTTCTACTAATAATAATAAATAGCAACAACAAAATATTTATCCAATTCAAAAGGCAACTTCTTATGCTAATTTCAAAATATTTCAATTCATCATCGTCAAAACTTTCATCAAATTCATCTGAACCAGTCACTTCTTGAAATTGATTTAAAATTTTCATTATGTAGATTAGTACCAAAGATAGATATGGAAACAACTAGGAAATTTTCCGCTCAAAGTTAAAAGTATTGTACTACAAGGAACAGTAACAGAACAACTTTGAACACCTCTTATATATTTCAGCTGTAAATCATTAATATCCCTGTAATTCGACTTAATAGAAGTAACAGCATGAAATGCAGTCATTTTGGATGATTGACTTACTAATGGTATTTTGTTTTGAGTCAAAGGACTTCCATGAACATTCTAACAAAATGCATATCAGAGCTGTGTTCACCACCAGGAGGTACTGCTTCTCTTTTTCAACCACCTTCCAACTCATCCCAAAGATGTTTAATAGGTTGATATCAGGGAATTGTGAAGGCCAATCTGATAATACTTTTATAAAAAAATGATAATTGGCTTTCCTTGAACATGAATGCCTTTATATACTATAGATCTATTACAATGTTAATTAAATACATTTGATGTTGTCACTGACATTAACAAATAATTGCATCATCTAAAAAGTAATGTTACCAAGACCATGTAAAAATGAAATTTTTTAAGGGACCTGATTTTAAAACAAAGATTGTGCGTCTACCCCTGTCTAAAATCAACAAAAATTGAAGACCAAAAAAACTAATTTTTTCTTCCCATTTGTGTAGTACCTTAAAAAACATGAATAATAAATCTGATATTATTACAAGTATCAGATTTAAAAAAACTTCCTATTACAAATAAGTCAACAGGTGCTTTCACATGCCTCATAGCCGTGGAATTTTTTTCAACAAGTAAAATGAAAACATGTCAGAAGGCTTTTATAAGGTTGGAAAAATTTTCCCTTTATCTTCCCTCAGATCAGGCTTGACCATTTGGAGTAAGATATGAATGACTGGCTATTGATGGACTAGTTGTGGGAGGTGATAAAGAACGATCATATTCTGAAGGGGATATGACTGTTCTATAAGGGGATACAGACCGATAATTTCTTGATGGTGAGTTCGGTAATAGTTCAGGTGAAAACCTGGAGGACCTAACTGTTGGCCTCATGTTAGGAGAAATTGGCGGTGATGAAGCTATCGAGGAGGGTATTGAGGAAGGGGGGGAGGTACTTGAGGTCAATGAAGCATCTAACATATATTCTAGAGTGGGCATGTCTCGCTGAACATCCGCAACACCATCAAGTATATTATCCCATCTTTCTTTCATCGCATTGTATTTATCAATCGATTCTGGATCTTGTGTCATTTGATTATTAATACCATTAGCAAGCATGGTTAAAAGTTTTGTAACAGCTGGCACATAATATTTTCGTTTAGCATCAAAATTTTTATAAAGCCTTTGATAATTTTTAGGATTTATTGCTACTTGTGGTTGTATATTATTTTGTTGTTGAAGATGATGAAGAGAATCACTTGAATAAGATCTTTGATTATTATTTCGTTGTGGATATCTTGGAGAATCTGATCTGTTAATGGCTCTGTACATAAAATCTTTACATTGTTTAACAGATCTTTCAAGCGAATCCATCATTTGATTAGCATTACCCGCAACTTGTTTAAAAAGACCTGACCATTTATCCTCCTTCAACTCTTCTCTTATTGATGTCATTTCATTTTTCAAAGACTCCCATTTTTTATTCAACGTATTAAATTTTTTTTCCAATATACCATTAGGATCTGAAGGAGCATTATGGCCGGTTAGACGGGATTTTAAGTAATCAACACGTGCAGATAAAGGTTCCAACTTCGAATCCAATTTGATTAGAGCAGCATCAACATTTTCATTATTATTGTTACTATTACCATTATTGTTATTTATTATACCAGTTGGAGTAAGAGGAGTCATTGATCTATTATTCCTTAAGGAAGGACTTGAACTTAGTCTAGGAAAAGGGAATAAATCGCTATTATTGTTATTATCACCAAAACCACCACTATGTCTTTGTTCCTGAAATTCAAATATATTTGTATTTAATTCTTCTATGGATGTTAAAATTTGATCCATTTTATCTAAAAGTTCACGTCTTTGTTTTGACACTGATATTTCTTTTTTTTATTTTTGCAAAAAAAGTTTTCACTTCTAACCAATCTGAATTTATTCTATCGAAAGTAGCTTTAATATCCTTATAATTTTGATCGTCATCACTGTTTAGTTTTGATAAAGTTGATTGTAAAAGTTCTTGTAATAAGTCAATATTAGAAGCATATTGAAGTATTAGTAAGTCCATTTCATTGACATTTTTCACATTAATACCTTCCTTTATATCAAAGTCTAATGCAAGTATAGTAACATTAGCATATTCCAACCAGTTGTCAATTTTTTTAGCAGAATTCTGAAAAACTTCTAAAAGATTAGGTATGGGTAAATCGGTTGATAGGGCATGATAAATAGCTGTTTTTGGAGGTTCTATTTTTTGAAGTGTTTGCACGTGTTGAGCAAAGGTTTTATTTTCAATTTCTAATGTATTAAGCGTTGACAAGGTAGTGGTGGTAGTGGTGGTGATAGGAGTAGTGGTTGCAGACAATGATGTAATATTAGGGGTTATAGGAAGAGGATTTGTTGGTTCTGTTATTGGAGTAGTTGATGTTAAGGGTGTTATTTGAGTTGTGGTTATTGGTGGTGTCGTTGATGCAATTGTTGACATTGTAGAGGTTAATGTGGTCGTGTAATTATTGTTATCTGTATTATTATTATTTATAGTTGCAGTGGTTGCTCCAATAGAACCGAAAGGCATAAAGTTTTTAAAAGTAGATAATATTGGTTCTACCATTTTTTTTTTGAAAATTTTAACTAAATAAATAAGTTGTTACTATTAAATGTTACTATATATGTATGTATATTATATATATATTATTTTTTTTTTTATGTAACTTTTATATTTCAAGGAATTTTATTTTGAAAAAAATGAATTTTTTATGGAAATTTTTTTT